AGTATTCCACAGGAAAAATGGAGTCAGATCCGCCGGAGACCTCGCCGGCCAGTGCACGGGCGCACTCCGTGTACGATTTATCTATCCGCGTATCTCGCGTTTAACACGCGACGCGTTTTCGCGCACGTGTGTGGCGAGGCTATCGTCGCGTCACTTTTCGACACTTTTTCTTCGCGACATTGACATTCGTATGACCGACAAAAAAGGACGGACTGCTCGCTCACCGAATTGCACGAAATCATGACACGCGCGCGGAATTGTCAAGCACTAGCGTAAAGGTGCAATTTCACGTAGCGTCAAAACGCTAGCGGCTCTTCCCACTCTGGCGCTTTTGGTCGATGCGTCGTTTTGCCGCTTGAAGTTCGGAAAGGCCCAACTCGAGCGAAAAATAGACGTGTTTGAATTGGTTTGAATGTTGTATCAGTTGTATCAACAAAAAATGAGTTTCATCGACAACGACAGTGAACATTGGAACACATACTTGAATTGTTACATGTTTTCCATCGATAGCACCAATGCAGTGAATGAAATTGGACAATTCTTCAAAATTATTTGCAATTTCGAGCCAGTCTCCTTCCGACAATACTGATGATAAAACCAAAGGACACAAATTGCTCCAAATTGCTTCGCATGTCTCTCGAATAATATTACAAATTGTTGTTACCCCAACTAGATACTGGTATGACATTGACGTCATTGAATCACCAGAAGCAAGATACCTAGAACATTGCAAAGATACAAAGATATATAATATTTAAACAATATCAAAGCAGTGAACAAGTTTCTTGTATAAAATTTGCAGTAATTTTAACATTTACAAACCTTAATGTTATTATCAAACGTTCTTTCGGTTGTATGGGCTTTCGAATAACATTTTCTTTTATCAATAGCGGTCCAACAATAGATAACAATTCCTCAAATTGTGTTGCGGACATTCGGAAATAATTGTGGAATCGTACTCCATTCTCTATGGTCAGTTTAGGAATTGACACATAATAAAAACTGTGCTCTGGACGATCCTTTAGATATGGTGCTACCCAGTATTGCTTCTTCCTGTACGGTTTCTTTTCATTTTTTTGCAATTTTCGCATAATTGCACACAACACCAGTATTCGTCGTTTCTTAATCTCTTTAGCTATTACTGATGGCAATGTATTTTGTAATGTTGTCGATAAAATACTGTTCGGACAGTTTAAACGCACTTTGACACGCATCCTAATTGTCAGTTTCATACACGAATTTAAATCTATAGAAAAAATTTAAAAAATACAGAAAATATAAATCCACAGCGACTAGCGATTTGTCGCTTCATGAAAAAGTAGCGGGCGTTTAGCGGCTGGCGTTTTATCGGCAGCTTACTATTGAGAGGAAATGTATCACAGAGTGGGGGTAGCCGCTAGCTTTTTGACGCTACGTGAAATTGCACCTTAAAGCGTCGCGCGCTCTAGGGATAGAAAATCGATATAAGCACTGCGAGGTGTGACCTACCGCGTCTTACGTCAATACGGAGCAATCGATGTAAGATACGAAATAAGAAATAATTTAAATTTTTTATTAAAAATGTAAATTTTATTTTTGTTTAAGAAAACGTCGTATCTTATATCGATTGCTCCGTATCGACGTAAGACGCGGTAGGTCACACCTCGCAGCGCTCATATCGATTTTCTATCGCGGGAGCGCGCGATGCTTCACGCTAGTGCTTGACAGTTCCGCGCGCGTGTCGTGATTTCGTGCAATTCAGTGAGCGAGCAGTCCGTCCTTTTTTGTCGGTCATACGAATGTCAATGTCGCGAAGAAAAAGTGTCGAAAAGTGACGCGACGATAGCCTCGCCACACACGTGCGCGAAAACGCGTCGCGCGTTAAACGTGAGATACACGGATAGATAAATCGTACGCGGAGTGCGCCCGTGCACTGGCCGGCGAGGTCTCCGGCGGATCTGACTCCATTCTTCCTGTGGAGTACTGTGAAACAGTGAACAGTGAATGCGTTAACAATCACGAGAAACGCGCTCGATCGAATCAATCGTTGCGCGATGCACGGGGCTCCTTTGATGTGCGATGTCCCTGAGCACCGGAAAATTCAGCGCATCGATTGGGGAACTTTTGCTCTTCATAACGCCGAAATTACGACACCCTCGACATTTTGCCAAAGAAACTTTCGTCTCAGAACAACGTCAGGAGTTTACCCTAAACCGATTATTCGGTAAGTCTGAGATACCCGTATACACAAGTATATGTAGGGGAAGGTCGTACAGTATCGGACAGCGGATAGTATCGGACCATGTTGGTACAGAGCTGTGAGCGCTAGGTAACGCTCCTCTAATATAAACAAAATACAGTAGTTAGCAACAGCGTTCATTGTTTTTGGTTACAATAAAATAAGTTGATAAAAACGAGAAATATTGACGTTGAAATGAAATATACGAGCAAAATCATTGGTTAAAGTTGAGACCATCATAAAACTGAAAAAAGTAAGTATGATTCTAAAGGACCTCAACAATATTACTTCATAGAGTATATGCTTTTTACGTGTGTTGACACATTTTTTTGCATTCTATTATTACTGAATAATTTAGATAAATTAAGACACACCTTTATCGGCTGGTTACGGACATAAATTGTGTGGCCAGTATCGGACAAGTTATATTTACATCTTTTTCATTCCAAAATTGACTGAATCTCAATGTTTTTGTCAACCACAGATTTAAAAAAAGTGCCAACAAAAAGAAAAATTTCGTTCACTACTAATGTTACAGAGTGTCTCATTTGTAATGACACTGCAGAAGGAGATTGAATACAATGCGATACATGCAAAAAATGAGCATATGAGGACTGTGCCTTACTTACGCATGATAAATATTACTATTGTTACTTTTGTTTATCAAAATAACTTTTTTTCTTCTATATTTGAATAAAAAAACCTTGTCCGATACTACCCATCTTCATTTGTCCGATACTACCTGCCAATTTTTTTAAACAACAAAAATAAGAATCATTTTCAAGTACTTAAAAAAATATAAAAACGTATAAATTGCACGTAATTGGCATGAAAAGTTTTAATGAACTTACTCTTCTGTATTTTAATATTATTCAAACTTCAATTTATGCCTCACAAAATCAATGGTCTCCAAAATAGCTTAAGTGTTCGATACTATACAACCTTCCTCTACATATGTATATTTTTTTTAACAGAAGGAATTAAATATGTAACTGCTGTTTAATTAATGAGATATTTCGCTTTGTTTCTCATCAAGAAGCTTTGCAATATTGGGAGGTATGTTTGCTAAAATGTTTACACTTCAGCTAAATAAAGTGCAACGTTTCGACGGGCCACGGGTTGCTCATCACTGTATTAAACAATAGATGTATCAAAATATTAATTTTAATATTTTGATACATCTATTGTTTTATTGTTATATTTTATTGTTATATGTTTTATTATTTTATTGTTATTGTAATAAATAATTATATATAAATAAAATAATAGAAATAAATTATATATAAATAAATAATAATATTTATTATTGTTTATTTATATATAATTATGTATTATTCTTTAGTGAACCCAACTATGCAATCAGTAATGCTATCATTTATACAAAGACAAATATTTTCATGTTTTTTTTTATTTCTTTTAAATTTTAAATGGATTAACAAAATATCTTTATTTAATTTCAAAGATAATGCATTATTTTAAAATTCAAAATGCGTAAGCATGTTCTTTGGGAATATAAATTGTTAGTTAAATGCACTTGATTATATAGTATTATCTTAATCTAGATGGTATTATTTTAATTTAATGCTATAATATGTATTAAATTTTATATAATGTTGCTACTATCAAGTACCGATTTGTTGCCGCCAGACATCTTTAAAGTTAGATATAAAGTATGTTTAAAAAATAATAAGATTAGATTTTTTTTAATGTTTTGTTGTAGATAGTAGTTCTACTTGTCCTGTCTGCAATGTAGCAATAATTCATGTAGATAAGAAAGAAGAGAATGCATCAGAAAGTGTGGTGAGCTTTGCACCCTTACCGCCAAAACTGCGAGATGAAAGATGCCGTACCTGCGGTGAAACTTATGAGAACAAATGTAAACATTGTAAACGCGTAAGTGATTTAGCGGCTTCACAAAATCAACATAATTGCAATTTACATTTTATGAATAAAAAAGTTTATAATTTCTATTTATCTTTCTGTTATAGTAATCGTATTAGTATTATAGTAATGCATTATAATTAATATATTACTAATATATTTATAATTAAATTAACTATATTAATAACTATATGAATAACTAAATTGTAATTATTATTGTAGTTATTAAAAAAATCAATACAAAATCAATTGTAGATATTTATAAAGTAAAGAATAATGAAATACTGTTTAAAAATCTATTTCATAAAATTAATATATTAATATTTTCGTAGAAATACTGCAATGTCTGCTGGACAAAGCATGTTGATGATTTGAAAAAAGAATTTAATGATATAAGTGGAAATCTTGAAACATCAGCAGCAAGATTTGAAAATAAAATCAGCAATTTTCAGGTAATTTATTAATCGAATTTCTAAGATCACATAAGATTAAAAAAAAAAATATCTGAATTGTACGTAAAAAAATCAGAAATAAAAAAGTTCGTTAATCTCTTTACCATATATTTGAAAATTAACTTGTCAGGGTCAATGACATATAGATGTATTAAAAAAAGTATTAAAACTTTTTACTTATGATTAACGTAAAATACAATATGCAAAATTTTTTTGCATTACTGAATTCGATCTAATAAGAATTTTAAAATTTAATATAACAGACTTAATATATTATAGCAAACGCAAATTTGAAATATTCTATTCCAATTTAATTTTAAAGTAATTTTATAATTTCCAAATTTGACGTCATAATTTTGAAATTTAAGAAATTAGGTAAATTAATAATCAATAGCTTATGAGTATATATGTTTTAAAGAAAAGTGTAAATCACAGTACTAAAGTGTATTATAAATTTGTATTTACATAGGTATCACAAATATTAACAAGTATTTTTAAATTTTATCTTATTTAAGATAAAAAAAATTTTTTAATTCCCAAAATTTGATAACATGATACTGTCAAATAACTTGTTTGTAAGTACAAAAGGTTTAATTAATTTCTATATTACAGAGTAAAGCGAACGAAATAAAACAGTTTATCAATAGAGACATCGAATCTAAAATAACTGAACTTTATAAAAAAAGAGAGAATCAGATTAAAAAGGTAGAACATATAGTTGCTATAAGTGAAGCATCAGTGGAAGATATTAGACGAAGAATGTATAAATCTCAAATAGAGATAAGAAATCAGAAAGATGTTTCATATGATATACTGCCTGACAACGAAAAAAAGGTATTGTATTTTGAGCTTATATCATTTTAATTTGTATTGTATAATAAAAAAAGGGCAAATGATCTAAAAAACTATATATTATAAAAGTTAATATTAAAAACTTAATATATTATAAAAGTAAATTACATAAGAGCACTTCAGAGGTAAACTGTGTTAAGTCACATTTTTTTGAAAATATAGTTATTGTTATTAGAAGACTCTATACTCCAATTTTTACTGAATAGCAAACGTTTTCAATCAATATTTTCATTTCAGTAGAGATGTTGACTGTATAAAGTTAAAGTCACATTTACTAGGTAAATATTGTTAAGTCACAATAAAATCATATTCTATAATCATACAACTTTATTTTCTGAAACATATCAAAGTTTGATGTTATATCTGTGAATAGAAAAAATCTGCAAAACATTATAAGTATTTTACTGAGACCATATCAAAAGCAAAAAATCACTTTAGAAAAATCCTTCTCCTGAAAAATTATGTTCATGTAATTTAATACAGTACACCTCTGAAGTGCTTATATATTGAAGAATTTGAATTATTAAGTTGTAAATATATTTAAACATATTTTAAACATTTTTTAATATTATACAAATGTTACATATTTCTATATATTTCACATATTTACATCAATATAAAAATTATTTTATTTTTTATTATTTTCTTTATTTCTAAGATTACTTAATAAAACATGTAACACATTATTTATAATTTATATAATTGATTTATAACTTATTGTGCAATGTTTTAGTAGAGATTAATAAATAACGATTAAGAAATAAATAACAATTGTATTGCAAAACAAAAAATGTTTTAAAAACACGCTATTCTTTGACACATATTACATATTATTGCAAATTTGATTTTAATATTCCCAGGTAGCACATGTTCGTTTCAGAAACGTTTTACAAACATTTCTTCGAAATGTTTCATAACGGTTCTCAAAAACGTTTCTTATTTGTTAAAATTTCAATCCAAAAAACATTAAGAGAAACGTTATTTTTCCAACAAAAAACGTTTAAGAAACGATTAAAAATACGTTTTTTTTTCTTTTATCCACGCACAAAAAAAATGTATTTTTTCTCACGGAATTAATAAAATAATACATTCATATATATATTTAGATTATGTAGAAAGTTACAATACTACAAATTAACATGAGTTTTAATGTTTTAATGTTTTTTGAGAAAAATATTTTAATAAATATTATTTTTTTAATTGACTATAAAGAAAAAAAGAAAATTTTTTGATATAAATTAATTACAGAAATTAATTTGCCCTGAAATTAATAACAAATAAAGTAACATACACTTGTCAAATCGCGAATGCCAGAATGAGTTGCAGTGTAACGCAATGATCATGTTTTGCTGTAGAGTTAAATAAATAATTTTGAAAAATATCAGTGAGTTTTTAATAAAATTTTGCATGAATATTTGTTAGAGTTTTGTTAGTGTAGATAAATAATCGGACTTGGCTAACAACGCTTCTCTTGTGATAAATTCGTCAATAAATGCTGCAGCATATGATTTTTCATTGAAATCAGTCTAAACATAAAAATAAAATAACTTTCAAATTAATCAGAGAGTTGTGTTCAGGTTTTACGCACATATTCAAAATAAATAATTTATGAAACAATGAAAATTTATGAAATTTTTAAGATTCTGTCAATGCTCTAATATATACATACTACACATGACTATACTGCCAATGTTCTAATATATGACTATTCTTAAATCTTCCTCTCTACTGAAGTAAATCGAATTTTTCTGTTCTTCTAATGTTATCTCTCAGTCTCTCCCCCGATTCTAAAATCTGGATCAGTTCCGTACCTGTCCTGTGCAGAACGGCTCACAGTATTGATTACTTGAGAGGAGAAAAGCATATGGAGGAAGGGGGGAGTGGATGGCAAACATGTAGGGCTGACCGTGCGAGAGAATCGACGATGGGGACCGGTTGAAATTTTCATCGTTACCTGCAAAGATATCTAATAAGATAGAAGAAGAGCAAGACTCAAAACAAAAAAACACTAGCAACAAATAAAAACATTACAATACAGAAGAATAAAAAATCGCAAGAAAATTATTTCTTAAAAATTTTTTGGAAAGAAATTAAAATATCGAAGAATATAATAAAATATGACAAAATATTGCGATTAATACTTATTTCAATATAATTAAAAATATAGTAAGCAAGATCAAACAATTAGAGAAAAACAGATAATAAAAAATAGCACGTTGTAAAAATTGCATCATTGAATTATATTATTTGCAAAATTATTATTAATGATAAACTTACAATAATTTGAGGACGAGGACTTTTCAAAAAGCCTCGGAAAATTGTTACAGAAAATCGTAATAAAAAAATCTTGGTTATTAATCTTTATATAAATGGTTTTGGGAAATAAATAGTTATATTCTTAGATAGAACAATAGAACTAAGCAAAAACATAAGCAGGAACAGATCTAAAACCGAAATAAACATTGATAAGAGTTAAAATTTTTAAAGTTACATTTGTACGAAGAGTTCAGTGTAAAGATACAAACACAATAAAAATATTTGTTACAAAATTGAGTAGGAATACTTTTAATACATACATTTAATTATTTTTCTTTATTATATTAAAATTATCATAATAATATTCGAGGATCCAAGGTTGAAGATGAAGGTTCTTTTAAATTTCCTTATATTATTACTTTGTAAACGTTTCAGCCAAACTTTTGGCCATCTTTAAAAATTATCATATTTGTTATGTTAGTTATGTTAGAATGATTATCTTGTTAAGGCATTTATGTATTTAGGATACGAACTTTTGTATTCTGATATCATAGAATTTTACGCAGTAACATTATTTCTCACTTCTTTGATAAACTTTCCACCGGCCAATAGTTCTTTAACAACAGCAACAAATAGAAATTTTTTAAATTGAGATTTCTGCCGTGAAATAAATTTCTCAGCTGAAACTTTGCAATTGTGTAATTAAGTCATTATATAATTACGTGCATTGACACACAACGGAATTTTATAACATTGAAATAACTCATGCCTAATTTAAACAAATATCCTGAATGACAAATATGATAATTAGCAAAACAATTGAAGAATGTTTCCACGCGGTCTTAATAAATTTAAAAAAATTTTTATTGCGTTTGTGTCTTTATTTTCTAAACTACTCTTGTAGATAGATGCAGAAACATACTGGCATTAAATCGAGTAAAAAACCGGCTGCAACGACGAAGAATGAACTACGCGATTGGGAGAAAGATAGAGGAATGCAATGAGAGTGGGCTCGCAGGGCGGGTTCGCGGACCGATAGGACCTAACCCGGAATAACAGGAAGATAATGGTGTTGGTGTATAAGGCACGAGCAACCAGCGTCTGCTCCTGACAGCCCATTACCACTGTACAAACGCGGGCACGACGGTCTGGTACGATGGCGAAGGCTCTTCTGAATCCTGTCTCTTTCTCCACAACGCGGCTTTCCTCCTTCTATTCCTCCCTCTTCTCTTCCTTTCGCCACCCATCTCTTATTCCGCCGCCATCATCCCCAAGGTATCGAAAATCTTCACCCTGCGAGAAAGTAAATCGGATAATACATTTGCGATTTCATCGCCATTATATCTTACATAAAAAAAGATGTAAAAATTAGAAAAAAATCCCGGCATTAAATATACGAGAAAATAATTTTCGATAAAAGTTCTCGAATTTTTTATATAATATAGATTTTGAAGTCATAAAAGTTTAAATAAGCACAATCTTAAGAAATAAACAATTTTCGAGATGTAATTTTCTCATAATCCTCTAAAATTGAAATACAGTAAAATTAAGATATTCATAAAACTAAAAAATTAAAAATAAATTAAAATATTTTTAAAGATATAGTCTCCCTCAAATATGACTAACACTAGGATCTATTCTCAAAATAATATTCTCAGTTTTTTACTTATACTATATATATTATTAACATACACATATGAATTCTTTTTCAATATTAAAAGTGCTATTTATTTTGAGAAATAAGTTTATGAGGATAATTTTAATCACAATTTTATGACAAACTAATTAAACTTTTTTTCTGTTTATTCTTTATATGTAGAAAGAAAGTATCTCTACCTTAATAAATATAAAATGGAAAAAAATTCTTTCTTGTGGATACAGCATTTTAAAAAAACATCCTCTACTAACTTTTTTTTTTAATCAATAAATATAAATATATCATATATTTAAAAAAATAATAATTTTCACAAATTTTAATTTTATTCCATCTAAACTTTTTTTAAGCGGTGATACTTCGAAACTTGCCTATTTAAACTTTTAACCAAGATTTCAAAGTTTATAACATAACGGTATATTTCAACAATAATGAGATTAATTTCTTTTATATTTTTTGTATAATGCCATCTATTGTCAATTAGTGACGCTTTGAAGCTTTATCTTTACTTTAACAGGTATAGATATTTTCTGAGCATCAAACATATATGAATTATAACGGTCAAAGTGACAGTATTTAATGCACACCTCATCATGAAAATATAAAGAAATAACAAGCCAATATCAAATTTTGTTTTATTCTTTGTAAAACCAGGATACGAATCTATAAAATGTTGAAACAAGTTTACAAAAGCAATTGTCTATCTCATGTACGAGATTTTCAGTGATTTGCACCCAAAATCGACTTCGATGAAAGATCTCGTGGAAAAGATCCATCAAATATTGGCAATCGATTAAAATGTAACAGCGCGAAACTAATAGAAGAATTTAATGTGACAAAATTTACAACGTGCTACGCAATGACTTAAATAAACAAACGATCTGTTCTTGGTTTCTATAGCTAATAAAGGATCAAGAAATGGTTTTCAGTGCTTTTTGTGTGATTTACAACCTAAGCACCGAAGTGTTGAATAAAAAGCAAAGACCGAAAAAATGCAATTTTAAAAATCACAAATCAAGATAATTTTGATCATATGTTTTAAAGATTTCAGAAATATTATTCTTTGAGAACTCGTTCCAGAGAATCAAACAATACTTAAGCTTAACTATTTGAATGTTTTGGAGCACTTACGTTGGTTTATCGAATCAGATCCAAATATCGATAGTTGAGAAATTGTTTTTCTTTTTTTTTTTTTTCACAATAATGTACATTGCGACCGTGAACTGTTGGCCACAAATCAAATAGCAATAATTTGCTGTATTTCTTGCTTAAATTTATTTCCAAATAAAAAATTTTTGAAGTTTTGATATCGATTCGCTAGAAAGACATTCCAATCACTGAAGTAGCCTGAACAAAAAGTGAAAAAAGTAAATCTCCAGAAATCTATCGACACCATTATCCTAACTATACCTAACGTCGAAAGAACATACTTTGGATAACATAAACACATAAGGTCAATTTTCGGCACATTAGACCAGTGTTTAAATTGATATAGACTGATTGATCAATCTTCCGTTATTTTTTAGACATACTTGTATTGTGTATAAAATATTGTAGATATTTTATACAGGAACATTTCTCATGTATATAAAGCCGGGTTTTTTTGGCATAATATTTTTTTATATCGTATTTTTATTTATGTTATTTTTACCTACAAATATTATTTTTGTTTACATTTTTGTCATAGATTAATTTGTCCTAAAAAAACATTTTATAAAACACAATTATTTGTCATCATGTTTTTAATTTTTGGCAGTAAATATTTTATTATCGGATTACATCTTATTGGCTTTTAAATATTGTAATTGTTTAATTTTGAATAAATATTAATGTTACATAATCATGTTTATCGCTATTAACAAGATATATTAACAAGATCTCTTTCTAACGATAATCTGAAAAATATTTATCTATTCAGGAATATTTAAATAACTAAAATTTTATCTTTTAATATATCAGAACCAACCATAACTCGATCGGCTCTTTATGTCAACAAAGAATGCTCGCGAGTAAAATAATGGTTTTCAGGGTGTTCTTCACGACGGTTTGCCAGTAAGAAAAGCAGATTTTGCAGCTCGTATACTCGCGTGAACAAAATGGGATCCATACTGAATCAATTTGCCGTATACATTTGCTCGCTCCCTCCTCATTCTCTATGTCTCTCCGTCTTTCTCTTGAGGTAGCTTTTTCGGGGTTGGTTCGTAGCCACGCCCGACACCCTCGCTAGGCCACGCCTGCAAACGAAGCTACATACATAGAGAAACACATACACGCGCGTGCACGCCGCACGCCGTATTCACGAACGTATGCACACACGCACGTATATTTATGCATGCATACACACATAATAATATATATATATATATATATATATATATATATATATACATACACATGCGTACATACTACATACATAACACACAGTCCAGAGGCTCTGTAGGGCCTAAGGGCTAATAATTCACGTCACGAGCACACCCCATCATAAAGAGTCAGCTACAGGTACTGGCAGGCGTATATTCCACAGCGGCGGCATAAACGCTATCCAGTTGCAGTTACTGTTAATTACCGATCATCTTTTATAATTTATTGCCGTACTCGCTAGTATGGAATTTGCTGGAATCCCGGAAAATTCGCCGGATGACTGACTGGCCTGACAATTATGTAACGCGCCACCGAATTATTCGCTGGAGTTACTCACAATCAGTTGCCAAACTTATCATTACCCGACAATAACAATGACGAATAGCAATGACACACTGTGACTGTGCTTATTCTAATTGAATACATTTGTATAAAAAGAAACTGACACCAAACATGTTCTTTGCATATCACCATTTTAAAAAAGCACATAAAAAAATAACATTTTGTGAAAGTATGGCCCAATAAATAAAATAATCGTTACGTAAATATAATAACACTATATATTTAATAATATGTTTAACAGAGATCTAAAACTATAGAAATTAGTAGTTAATTCTTTTCTGCATAATTACATCTAAGTAATTAAAAAATATGTTGTTATTTGCAAAATAATTGATCCGAAAAAAGTATTTCAAAGATAGGAATATTTTCTCTATAAAATACTTTTAATAATGTTTCCTTTTGTAATGTTTATAATAAAATAAAAAATTAGTAGGACCACAGGCAGTAATCGTTTACAGTTTGTTACAGAACATGACGTACCCTTCTTATCTCCGGGGATAGGAGGGTACTGGTATGAGTTGCCAATGGCCCATAGTTGGCCCCTAAAATTAGCCACAGTGACATATTGAAGAGTGCGTGTCGTATCCCCTGAGACACGGTCAGCGCTTACCCGCTCTTTCTCTCCCCATCTCGAAACACACAAAGCTGCCGCTCTGGGAAAATCAACTGACGCGTAACTAAATGGTGTATCATTAATTTCGACTTGTATGTTTATATCGCTCTGGTTAAAGAGCTCGTGCGTAGGGCCTTCCATGCGTGTAGCTTCTGTGACTGGAAAAAATCCCAGATTTCTAAATCAATTTATTTGCACACCGAGAGTCGTTAAAGAATGATATTGCTGCAAATTAGCTGCAAAATAATTTTTTTATATTTAAATATATATATATATATAGCTATAGCTACATTTAAAAAAATTAAAACAGCTTTATTTTTCTGTGAAATAATTACTTTCCTTCTCCGTAGAATTTTATTTGCAATTTTAAAGTTGTATCTATTCTTACTCTTGTTAGTGGACTAAAGAGCAGATTAAATAATTCTATCATTAAATAATCCTGTGCTAATGCTGGCGGCACACTTGACATTTTCGGAAAAAATTGTGCAAATGCATACAATATATGCCGTTTATTTGTTTATTTTATTACATGTTTTTACAAAATATGCAATAAAACGACGAAAAAATTGCAGATCAATTTTTAATAAGCCGTCTTAAATGGTAGGCTTTAATTTTAAAATTTATGCAAAGCAGAATCTTCAAGGTTTAAATTTTTTTAAATCCTTTATCTTGCTTTTTAGTGCAAAGGCATCTTCGAAAAAATCAACTGTGAGGAAGGAGGGGGGGGGGGGGGTAAAAGTAGAGGCTTTAGCTTAATATTTCAAAAAATTGTACAATTTTTTTTGCAAAGTTATAACAGTTTCAAGATTAACAATTTTCCTGCAGAAATTTTGCGATTCTATAATTTTACTGTTGAATGTATATGTATGTATATTTTCAATATCTTATAAATCGAATATCTCATGTTAGTCATTAAAAATCTATCAATTGTAGTAATTTTTGCCATTATACCTTTTCCCATGATCTTTCTTATCTTATCAGAAATCATTTAATTCACAATTTACATTTACATTGTCGTCCACTTTTGTAGGGAAAGGTACCGTATTATCTGACAGAGATGTCGATTCTCGGGTGACCATTTTATCGGCACATAACCCTCTGTCCACCTGATTGGCGTGAAACATATTGGCGCAAGTGTTGCGAAAAAATGACGACAAAGGCGCTTTGCATCGCGCTTTAAAGTCACTTGGAATACTTTAAATTCGACATATGCGTGTTATATGAAAATAAATATTGTTACTTTATATAACTCTGAAAGAAGGATAACAAAGATATTTGTTTTAAAAAATAATTATTATTTTAATTTTCTAAATATTTTCTTTTGCGGAAGATGTAAAAGATGTAAATAAGAAGTGTAAAAGAGATGGAGAAAAGTATAAAACATTATTAATTTTCCAAAAATTTGAAAATTTTATCTTGAAAAAGATCAAGTTTTATATAAATATTATTATAAAATTTTATATAAATATTATTATAATATTATTTTATATAAATATTATTATAATAAAAAATATTATTTTACATTTTTATCTTAATTTTATACAAAGAATAATTTTGTTTCTGCTTGTACTACGATTTTATTCTGTATATAATTATAGTTATGAGTAAAAAATAAAATATAAACATAACTTTTAAAGCATTCGTAAAAAAATATACTTTTTTTATCTCTAATAACTTTTGATATATGATTACTAAACAGATTTTGAAGTGTGTTCTAAATTTAAATATTAATAAAATATTAATAAAAAAAACTATTAAAATAAAAAACAGAAAATTAAAATTACTTCTGTTCATTAATATATCTTCTAACTTTTGTTGAAATGAAAGAGAATTGGTTTGTAAAAATTTCTTGTTGAATTATAGTATTAGCGAATCGCGATGTCGGTCTATTGACAACGCGCAAACAGATTTCAGGCCACCAAGCCTATTCAATACACGTGTCTTTATACGCTGAATCGTGGCAATCCTATTCGCGACGATCGACCAGGACGAGTAAGGGAGAGAAAAGAGGGACCAAGGATCGTTACAAAGAACGGCACGTTTCGTCACGTGACCGCTGATGGTACGACTTCGGGGTACCATAAGTGCCAGAAAGCATAAAGCTTTTTCGTTCATTTCTTCTCTTTCTCTCTCTCCTTTAGTCCTTTTTTACCGGTGATTGGCCACAATTTAGCGATACATCGTTGCACATCGTGCAGACTTTGCGGTGGAGAATGTCAACTGCATTGCTCTACATATTTCATTTTCTTTCATATCCCAATTTATCAATGATGAGGTTTAAATAAAGAAAACCTTTGTCGTTTTTGTATCAGTTCTTTGGAACTTTAACAATCAATGCTGTTCTGAAAATAAAAGTGTGTTCTTTAAAGTGATCTAAATGTTATCTATGCCAATTACATACAAATGTTACTGTTGTATTTTTCCCCTAACTTACTTTATGTATCATAATCAATAAAAGATTTGCAGGCACGTGACATTATTCAAATTTTTAATAATTTTTAATTTATGTAACACACACAATACGTGTCTAACATTTAAGCTATTTAAATTTATAAAAAAATTATCATCTAAATTAAATAAAAAAGTAGTATCTAAATTTAGCAAAAAAAGAAAAATTTTTATTTTCTTATGAGTGAGTCTATTATATTTTTTTTAAGGTAAAAACATTTTTAGATCTGCAACAAAAGGCCGCAGAAGTAATGGCAGCAGTTGTTATTTGGGAGTCAGCGTTAAATGATATAGAAATGGAACTCGGGAAAGTTAATAAACATGGAAAATTACTTGTCAAGAAAAGCACTGGTCCATCGTACAAGTAAAACCATTTCATAACACATATTACGACATATTACGACATATTACAACATATTACATTCAATTATCGTATTAAATTAATTAAATTTTAAACAAGTGAAAGCTTTTGATCTTTTATCTATTACTATTTCTATACAGTATACTTCTTTTTATAATATAATACAAAAAAAGTTTTAACTCTGCAGTGTACATAGCTGTATATAGATAAAAAGAACATGACATCAATGAATGGCTTGACATTCCATGTTTTATTTGTTGAGGAAATTATAAAAAACTTTTCATAATTCAATAATGTTTCAGATAATTTAGTAGAGTGCTATGATTAACATCACACAGCGTACATAAAACGACACAATGAACTGTTGTTATTACAATATATTTATTTTACTACAAGAATTTAATAAAAAATTTATTAAAAATATAGTTAAAAATAAAATGTACTCTTAAATGTAAAAAATTTTTAAATTTTTGATAAATATTTAAAAAAAAAAAATTTTGAAGAAAGATATTTCTCGTATTTGGTCCCTCTATTCGTATACATTTTTTTTGTTAAATTACTACAAAAAATTAAAATTAATTGTGGACTCTATTAATCAACAGTAAAAACTTTTTTATTAAAAATTATTTCGTTTCAACAAGTTTTGCGTAAAAATATGCCTCGATGCATACTAAATTAAGTTATAATGGCATAAGGTCATAAGATAAAAATTGGTGTTATAGGCGAAAAACTTTTACACCGAAAATTATTGTGAATCGTGATACAGTGCGGCGGCCATCAGCACTTGCTATTGATTCCTGGAGGAATAATATTATTACGACCTGTCCAGGATCAGGACAAGTTGTCATTCTCGACAGGAAGTTCAAACTTGTGCGCAGGATTTGTCATCAAGAAATGATGGCACCTCAAGGAGTCGCCTTCCTGCAGAAGTACGACGAAATATTCGTGACAGGTTTTGACATTTATTCTTCGTAGAATAAAATATTTAGCATAAGTAACACAAGCATGAATAAAAATTTCAAAATTTTTTTTGTTAAATTTTAATTTTGTTATATGGCAAAATATTTGTTTTTTAAAAATAATGATTAAAAATAGAGAAATAAATAGTACAAAATGATTAAATACATGACTATCGCACAAAAACAAAAAAAAAATTATTTAAACAGACACAAAATACAAATTTATATTTTATCCAAAAAAATTACAGTTACATTTCACAACAATCAGTTTTGTTTTAAATCAGATTAATTATAAACTAATAATAAATAATATATTTTATCGCTTTATCTATTTGCGCAAATTTTTTGCAGATAAATGGAAGCATTGTATTTTTGTATTTGATCATAAAGGCGAGCTTGTGCGTCGCATGTGCAATAAGGGTTATGGAGAATTAGAGCTACGTTCGCCGGAAGGAATTGCGTTTCACCCGGAACGGAGTGTGCTTTATGTTGCCGATACTGGGAACAATCGCATTCAGATTCTCAAGAAGGACGGAACGTATTTGGATAGCATTGGATCCAAAAGTACACATACGAGTGGCTCTATTAGATTCTGTACTATCAACCAAATTGCAAGCCAATTAAATCAACCAACAGACGTGGCTGTCACAATAACGTGCATTGCTGTCGCTGATTCCGGCAATCATCAAGTAAAGGTAATAAACATTATTGTACCAGTTTGAATATTTATTTGTACGTAGTATAATTTTAATGGTTTTGAATTTTGTTATTTTCTGAATAAGTTATCTTTCCTCAATCTTTGTAAATTACAGTTTTATATCGCAAAAACAATAATAAATTACTTACTATCAAGATATATAAATATTTGCTTTGCAATTATCACAAGTGCGCTACCGATAAATATTTAACAGTAAATAAAAACAATCTTTTTGTGTGTCATACAGGTATTCGATCACGATGGTCAAATCCTTCATACGATCGGCAGCGTCGGCACAGCAAAAGGCTTATTTAGGTTAATAAAAACTTGTTATTTATTTGTTCTTATTTACATATTATTTCGTAGATATTAAGATACTACTAAGTATATATGTTCCCATTTGTTATAATGACAGCGAGACTAATACAGAAAGCTGCCCCTCTCTGATTTTGAATTTTAAATATATTATAATCCATATATATATATATATATATAACGTATAAATTATATAGTATATAAAAATTATATATATATAATAATATTATGTATAATAAGTAACATTAATTAATATAATATTATATATATATATATATATATATATATATATATATGTATAAACATTTGCTTAAACATTGCATCTGAGCGATTATCATTCTAGAAATTATAAACAAAAATTTTATTGTATTAAAATTTTTTTAAGTTTACTTAAATTTTTTTAAGTTTTACAATTTTTGGCAATTTTAAATAGTACAAAAGTTTGGAAAAAAATTATAGTCATAAATCTTTTTATATCATTTAAAGTAAAACATTTTAATAAAAAAATCAATTTTCATATTTTTGAGCAAATAATTTTGTATCATAAAAACGATCTGCAGTATAATATACAAATTGTATCATAGAAATTAGAGAAAGATATTATCTTTGTAAAATCAGAAATCTGCTATGGAATTATTTTCAATTTATACATAGATCTCCTGAGGTATTAAAGATTGACAAGAAAGGATATATCATTGTCGGCGACGCTGGAAATGGAAGAGTACAGATTTTTTCTCCGGAAGGTGAATTTCTACGAGTGTTAGGTGCCAAAAATACCAAAGGACATAAATTTGCATGGATATCTGGTGTATTGGTAACAAATAATTACAATATTTTAATTTCTGATAGCAAGGATAATCTGATATATTTATTTTAATACTACATGAATATAGAGTGCTTTTCATTAAACGCATTTTTTTAAATAATTAATTTGTTGATTAATTTTGATTTGATTTGCTTTGCAATGATATTGTGGCACCCGCAGCTTTTAAATTATAAATGATTAAATACAGCAAATTTTGTGCTAAAAAAATGCTATTTTTGCTAAAAAAATATTAAAATTGTCTAAATTTGCAATTCAAAGAAAGTGTGCTAAATAAAAATAATATAAGAATGAGTATAAGAATTGATTGTGTTATAGTAATACATTCATTATATTATTTTGCAACTATTATTACATTACTTATTTGTTTAATAAATTATGTTTATATACGTGGTAAATAATATATAACATAAATATTAAATAATGTATATTTAGTATGTTAATAATATGTATGTGTACGTGATAAATAATATAAAATATAGTAAATAATATATTAAAAATGTCGATAATGTAATATATTTTATTCCAAGTCACATTAGTTATATTATTAAATTAGTAAAAGTCTAATTAAACTAATATGTATCATGCAAGAGGAAACCACTCTCGAAATTGTATGTTTCGATTACAGACATACTAACAATAATAGATGTATACTGTGCGTTTGGCGTAACAATCTCAAAAAAAAACTCGTATAATATCCAGTTACATAATAACATACTATATAATTTTAATCGGCCACTTGCCAATGCAAGCTGACTGCAATCGACATAGTAAACATGTTATATAATAATATGACATTATAAAATGCTGTTTAACATAAATTATGTTGTAAATAAATTTATTAGCTGGCTTTTGTTTGCACAAAATAAAACGTGACTAAATCATAATATGCAATTGCACCTGAAAAGAATAGATTTTTCTGAAATTGAATGTTTCACAGACATTTACAGAAATAAAGAATAAAATATGTATTCTTGGACCTTTTTTAACATATTGCTATTTTTTATTCAACAATTTAATTAAATCATAATATAAAATAATATTTATTCGAACGTACTATAGTTTTCTCTGAGTAAAAAAAATATAATAAAAAAGATTTTAACACATACACATATGCACATTTTGTATTTTTAAATAATTATGCTTTCAAAAATTTCTAAAATAAAGAAATTTGTAACTGCGCAATATTAATTTCTACCAAAATCTTTTAATTAATTTATTTTTTGTTAAATAAAACAAAAAAAATTTATAGAAAACTTATTAGTCACAAAATTAACTCTTGATTTCGAAATGTAAAAAACATATTACATATTACTAAAAATTAATTCTTGCTTGTACTTTTTAAATTTTCTTTTTTTCTTATGATGGTGCTTTATTGAGATTTTAAATCTATTATTCGAAGAGTTCGCCGTCGTCGTTTAACAGATAAACAAAAGTCGACAGAATATGGATTGCGTTGTTTATTTTTCCCAAATCGCGTTTCCAATCGCAGATCAAACAGATCCGCGGCGGCGTGAGGCACCGCTCTTATCCGCTCGTTTGACCAATAAATAATTTGGCAAACAAATTGATCCCCCAGGACTATAAACAGATACTTAGAGACACGCGCTTTCGTGGTCCAGTAAATTAAATGTCTCAACGCAAGCGCGATCATAAATTAGATTGTCGGACAATAGGAAATCGTTCAGTAGTCAGACTCCTACTGTGAGAACCAAAGTGGGCCCCGCGGCGTGAAATCTCTATTATTTCGGGGGTCGGAGTGCGTTCAAGTGCGTTCTGAATTGTCCGACGGATACGCGTGTGCATGCCATGGGGGATGCACTGGCACTGACAGGAGGGCTAGAGTCGGTCAGTCTTCGCCCCTCGAAAATAATGTAATCACGAATTAAATGTTTGCTCGGATATCGACGATCTCCTGTGGAGCCTCTTATCCAAAGAAATCCGATCGATATGAATTTGACTTTAACAACTATGATCTTCAGAATAATCTATTCCACGATGTCTGATTAAGTAATATGTAAATCAAGATAATTGATCATTTATAATTTATATTTATTGCTGTTTTTGATCTCTGTTACTTTGCTATTATCGTAGCTTTATCTCAAAAATATAATTTAATATTTATACAGGATGTCCCGTATCGTACGATAAGTCGATGATACATCCATACAAGCCTATGCCTCATTGCATTGAAATAAATTTCAGATATTAGTTTGTTTTTAAATATAGATATAACTTTACATTCAATAAAAAATAAAAACAGATTCATATCTGAAGATATCCTTATTTCTATGCGATGTATCATGCCTGAATACGCAAATTTGGAGTAACTTGATTGATCAATTTTTAATGCTTGCCATTCGAAAACCTCGACAATATATTATTAGGATTTTTATCTCAAAATGATTATCAGGAATATACCATTATCGTACAGTGCGCTCAATGCGAGACATCCTGTATAATATATGGTTTTTTACTTAGAAACAGAAATACACGAATAGATTGTTTATATGTAGATCCAACATAATATAATTTTTTATTATTTTTATTATAATATATTATAACTTTTTAAATATTATATTATTTATTATAGTATTAATATTTATGTAGTTATAAAAATAACTATTATGTAGTTATAGAAATAAATATTGATAAAATGATTATTTATTAGAATTTCTTAGATAAAATATTTCCAAACATAAAAGAGATACTTTATTATGTTACTATTTGCTGTTGTTATTATTTGCAATAATAATAATAGCATTGTTGAAATACGAATATTTGAATAAACATGATAAAATCTAATCTAATAAAATCTTCCGAATATTCTTTATAATGTAAATTTAATTTGATTAGGTAAATAATTTATCTGTACTTATCCTGTCCTTTAAATTACATGTAATAATTAATATTTTATTTTAAGCTTTCTCATAATCTTTCAGTTTTCTATTTAATATTTAAATTAAAGTTATATTTTCAATTATTATATTCTGTATTGTATTATTGAATTTTATTTATTTGATTAAAATGCAATTAAAATAATTTCTAGATTTTTCATATACATATATCTATTTATAATATTATTACTTATATATTATAATAATAATACTTTTGTGTATTTTTATTTCAATTTCTCATTAATTTAGAAATAAAGTTTTTTTCTAATGGGTATGTCCACAAGCATCAATAGTTTTCATTATGATTATTTGTAAATATGTCTATATATAAACTTGATATAAATATGAAAATATTTATAATTTGTATAAATACTTTACATAAAAACTTAATATATAAAATGCAAAAAAATATAAAATAATATTATGTTAATAAAGTGTAACTTGATAAATATATAAGAGCACATGTATACGTATTTTACATAAGTTTAATGTGTAAATACTAAAAAATTTATTATTTATCATATACCAAACACATATTTTCCTTTGTGTCACATCGGGTCAATACGAATACAAATGATACAGAGAGTGTAGAGGGAGAAAAATAGTAGAGTCTCACAGTTCCCCATGTTCTCTCCAAACGCGACAAATTGAGATGAACAATGATTTGTAAGATACGCACGCAAGCACGCACGCACGCATACACTTGAAATTTATCATATGATACTCTAAACGGCATGCTCCCAAGCATTTGCAAACTGATAAACTTAAATAAAATGATACGTACTCGAATTACATCTGATGTGCTTCATAATACGGTTTCGACGAAATGTAATAAAAGAATTTTTTTCTTAAATTAAATAAATTTAATGATTTTAGAATCAACTTAATCGTGAAAATGTAAAATTTCTGTAAATAATACAAACTCCTCATAACAAAACATTTGGTGAATGTTGTTTTGACGTTTATTATAAAAAATCGAATAAAAAATTGAAATGCGTTAAGAATAAATATCTAAATTGAGCGTGTGATCATCGTTTTCTCGCAGCGGAAGAATTGTACAAGAAAACTGCACCGTGTTTTTTCTCACAGGTTTTTTCTCGAGGGTAGAATCTCAATTATATGCATATCGTAGCTCGGGCTCGCCAATAATAATTCGGCTATGCCTTCGATGAGGCTCAACCGCGAATTGTTTCCCCCTCCCCCCTTCCCTACTCTTCCACACCAAACTCGTTTCAACGAGGACAAAACTTTGTCCGGTCTACATGTAGTTGCTAGGTACAACCCTGGCGAACCACTATTGTGATCGTATTAACACCTCGCATAATTGCACCACTGCGCTTCTCTCATCGCGCGTGCACTAAACACGGCTCATTTGAATATTGGTCCATTCATACATTGAGAAAGCTAATATTCGTGTCTTTAAAAGAGACACCGTCAAATCGGCCCAAGTTCCCGTCATTCTGTACATGTTATTTTTGATGATGTTTTCTCAGGCTGTCAAACGAGATAAATACAATTTGCAAAATCGATGACATTAGATTTTCGTTTGAATTGCACTTTAATGCATTGTATTTTCTGTGTTAAAAACGGAAAGAAGAAATACAAAAAAATATGTAAATTATTAAAAAAGCATAAATATAAAATTGTATTATTGAATTACATTTTACTTTAAATATAAATTTTTTATTGGCAAAGAATAAAATTTTAACTTTCCTCTTTTTTGTATTTTTTTTGCTTATTTAGGTTGACACTATTTCTAGTCGTGTGTTATAACGCCAAAATTTCATAATTTGAATACACAAAATATGATATCGCATAAAAGGGAAATATGTCAAATAAATAAAACAACAGAAAGAGACCGAAAGCAAAAGGAACGTAAAGATAATCATTTTTAATCAAAGGAAAGCTCGCAATATTTCATCCATGCATGACAAAATTGAAAAACCAGCCTGCAGCTACGCTCCCTCTTTTTCTCCTTCGTTCGTGAATAAATCCACCCCCGCATCCGCTGCTGAGATGACGACGAGCTGCAATGGGTGGGAATAAATAAAATCTCTGCAGGGGCGCGTTCCACGTTCTGGCTGATAAAGTCCTTGCTAGAACGTCTGCCCACCAATCCTGTGCACGTCTGATAATCGCATCCAACACGCGTCCTGGCTCGCCATTGGTTGTAAACCCGCCCAGGGGTTGGTATCGATCATCCCTCGTGCAAGTCCGGCGCTTTTCATATATATAAAGCGGTCTCCCCAGGGATACCGCCGATAGTTCAAATGCGCGTACTCCCCGTGCAGACACTCCCGTGAGAAGAATCAATCAATCGATCATAGCGATAAAAGATTAAAGATCGAAATATTGGCGTAAAGTTTACCACAATTCAGCATCGCAGAAGAACATTCCGATTTTTTTTAAAAAAGATTAAAAGATAAAAATAAAAGTTAAGCCACATTTAGTGGAGTTATTTCGTGTTGGTTCGTGGTATATAATTGCAAGAATATCGACGACGACGAATGAGATTGTGAAGACGCGCGTTATGGCGAATCACCATCCCGCGTACGACTTCGAAGACAGAGGTCAGAGAATCCGCCATCGTGTCAGCACTACGTCAAGAACCCCGGATTCCACTGTAGCTTGTACAAGGTAAGTACTTTATTTTTTGAAGTGTTATCTTTAAATATCAACTTTTGTATTGGCATTATACTTAAGAAATTGATTTTTATACAATATAAAATTGAACATAAATTTTCATATAATTAATATTTAAAAAATATGTCTGGTGTTTCTTCTTTCATTTTCAACTAAAAAATATGTATAATATTGAATAATCATAAACCTCAATAATTCTTAAGATTATTAGAAAATAATAGAATAATACAGTATTATACAGTTATACACGGAATGTTGAAAATGATATGAAAAAAAATATATTAAAGCCATAAAATTATTAGAAAATGATTGTAATAACTCTAATAATTAAAAATTAATTAAGATTTAACAGTAGAAACCCAGGTAGCACATGCTCGTTTCGTATACATTTCCTATATGTATCTAATGTTTTTTAACCATCAAGCATCAATAAGAAACACTTTTGAAATCATAATTTAAGAAACGTTTTCCACGTTTTTAGAAATTTTTTTATTTTTACAGGAATAATAACAAAAAAATTTTTTTTAATTTTATTTGTGTCTTAATCTTTTTCATATATTTTTTAAATATAATGTTGTTTAAATATTTTTTAAAAAATTAATGTAATAGAAGTTACATAATTATAAGTTTAATTAATAAAAATAATTTAGCATAAGAATTTTTTTTTAAAAACTATATTTTATTATATTTGTGATTTGATATTATGATATATTGATATTTCCTATATTTATAATGAATTAAATACTATTTTTTGTTGATATTTTATTGTAACATTTTATGTAACATTTATGTAACATTGCAAAAAATATATTAACTATTGCATTTATATGAACATATATATATTTTTTTTTCCCCACAAATAAAAGAAAAAAAAACATTTTTTCCTTTATTCGCGAAAAAAATTTGCTTTTTCTTTCGGAATTAAGAAAATAATGCATTCATATATATGTATACAGGGTGTTTTATAATGTCCGTGCCAACGCTCGTGTACGGATAGAGTGCGGTAAACTGAAATAGAAAAGTCCTTTACCGTTTTGCAATTTTCGCAATAGTAATTGAGATATTAATTAAAAGGGATTGACGAATAATCGCGCGTTGATCGCGGCTAGATCGTAGGCTGTACGCTCTAGGCGTGACAGCAATGAGAATCGCATGGCAACGAAAAATAACAACGCATATCACTCCTGCTCTCGCTACGTGTTATTTTTCGTTGCCATGCGATCCTCGTTGTTGTCACGTTTAGAGTGTACAGCCCACGATCTAACTACGCGCAACGCGCGATTACTCGTCAATCCCTTTTAATTAATATCT